AAATCAATGTGCTTCAAGCAAAGTTACTATAAGTTTAACTTTTCCAGCCTAGGTTGCAGTTTTTAAAGAAAGCCTTTTTACTTAGGCTAGAACAAATGGGGCAGGTTTCCTGACATCCATCATCAAGGCAGGTACAATACTAGGTGATTAAAAAAGGGAGATGATAACATGAGAAATTTTTGTGAATTTTTTTTTTTGTTGTTGTTAAAAGCAGAACAGATTTCTTTTTGAATTGGAGCAGAAAATAACGGATACCATTGCATGCAATACTGAACAGAAAATCTCTTGAGCATTGAGATGATCTTCCTGTTAATCTGCAAAATAATTTGCTGCCCATGGAAATATTGAATGATTGTTTGGTATCTCCAATGGGACAACCTTTACAATCACAGAACCACAGGGTCAGGTTGGAGGAGAACACAGTGGGTCATGTGGTTCAACCTCCCTGCTCAAGCAGGGTCATTCTGGAGCACATGGCACAGGATTGTGATCAGATAGTTCTTGAATATCTCCGGTGAGGGAGACTCCACAGCCTCTCTGAGCAATCTGTCCCAGTGCTTGAGCACACACAGAGTAAAGTTCTTCCTCACATTTAGGTGGATCTTCCTAAAGATCCACCTAAATGTTTCAGTTTCTGCCCACAGCCTCTTGCTTTATTGCTTAGCACCACTGAGAAAAGCCTGGATTCATTAATCTTCTGGGCACCCTCCCTTCAGATACTTACGGACATACAGGTTGGACTTGATGACCTCAAAGGTTCTTCCAAACCTAGCTGATTCTGTGATTCCGTGACATTGATGATGTCTCTTCTCAGTCATCTCTCCTTGAGGCCAAACAGACCCAGCTCCCTCAGCCTTTCCTCATAAAAGAGACTCTCCAGCCCTTTGATCTCCTTTGTCGCCCTGTGCTGGACCCACACTAGGAGCTCCATGTCTCTCTTGCGCTGAGGAGCCCCAAACTGGACACAGCACTCCAAATGTGGCCTCACTAGGGCTGAGTAGAGGGCCAGGATCACCTCCCTTGACTTACTGGAATGCTCTTCCTAATGCACCCCAGGATCCCATTGGCCCTCTTGGCCAAAAGGGCACACTGCTGGCTCATGGACAGCTTGTTGTCCACCAGGACCCCCACATCCTTCTCTGCAGAGCTGCTTTCCAGCAGATCAGCCCCAGCCTGTACTGGTGTGTTAGGTTATTTCTCTCCAGATGCAGGACCCTGCATTTGCACTCACTGAATTTTGGACAGTTGTCTGCCCATCTCTCCAACCCATCAAGGTCCTTCTGAAGGGCAGCTTTCAGACAGCCCTCTGGAGTATTGGCCACTCCTCACAGCTTGGTGTTAGCCAAGAACGTTAATTTAAGTAGACTGAGAACTTTTATTAGCCATATATTGAGTAACTTATGTATGGACTGCTTTCTCACTGGGTAGGGAAGGAGATAGAAAAGGATTATACAAAGCATAGCTATTTTTTTTCATACTACTGTGCTCTGTTCACTTACCTTTGGTCATCCCAGTCACAACTTTGTTAAGAGCTGGATCAGCTTAACAAAGGCTTTTTAGAAATGAGGAAATTGCTATAAAGTCTGAATATTGAGCATGAGTTGTCATGGACTAATGTCTTTATATAATCATTGATTTTTCAGCTTAGTTTGTCATAAAAAGTTCATGCTGATTTATAATTTTACAAATTACCGATTGTGTTTATTCCAATCATATTTTTAGCAGCTTGGGATCACAAATGGCTTATTACCTACCTAGCTGAAAGGATTTCTGCTGCTGTTTCAGTGTTAGATTTCCTACTGATCTTCTGCATCACCACTGCTTATCACAAAAAAGTGAGTAACAAATCAATTTACATAATCTACTGAAGCAGGTAAGGATGGATGTGTTAACAGCTCATCCTACTATCCTCCTCAGAACAACAACAAAAAAAAGGTATCTGTAAAAAATTGAATTTTCTCACCAGAATTTTCAACTTGAAAAAACCTATCAGTTCTACAGCCTATGAAAAAGTGACATTTTATTGCTTTTTTCCCTTATTTTCACATTGGGAAAACAAATGGCTTACTCACGTTCCTTTGTCAGCTAAATGCTTACTGTGGTATTAGCTGAAACAACATGTTAAGGGTGATTTGCCAGGAATAACATCAGGTGAGGCATTGATATTCCTATTTTGAGCACAGAGAACAGGTGATATCTTGAAGATTTCTACATCTGCTAGCATTTTATGTCCTCTGATTTTATGTTCCAGTTTAATAGTTTAAACCATTATCTAAGTTTGCTGTATTCCCTGCCAAATATCTCTAGTGGTCTCATCAAGAACCTCTCTTCTTTCAAAGGTAAAAAATAGTGAGCAGAAAATGTATTCCTTCTCCTACCACAATATATGAGGCTGCTGGAATTTTGAACAACATATTAGTATTTCTCCAAACCAAAGGGCCTTTTCAGGCTTTTACGACATAGCATTAATCTCATGCATGTTGCAGCTTGCAAGTCTACCTGGATTTTTATTGTATTTATTGATTTCAGTGGGAAAGTAAGCAGTATCAGCATTACATTGGAATTAGATATTTTAGACTATCATATTAGTATTTCTCCAAACCAAAGGGCCTTTTCAGGCTTTTACGACATAGCATTAATCTCATGCATGTTGCAGCTTGCAAGTCTACCTGGATTTTTATTGTATTTATTGATTTCAGTGGGAAAGTAAGCAGTATCAGCATTACATTGGAATTAGATATTTTAGACTATACTATCATGTATGATGCAGTTTCCTCCACTATGTTTCTGACTAAATGTATGTCTTCAGAAAGAAGGATCACAGAGGCTTTATCAAAAGTTTTGTACTCTACTCAGATCTGGGTAAGGTCACCTGTTAAGATGAAGCATACTCATGGTTTGTAGTGTATATTTAGTAAGATCTTTCCTTTCTGTGTCTACTCTTTATATCCCCTGAATCTTATAGTTTAATTTGAAATTATATAGACAGGAAAATTTGAAGGTTTTAAAATATGGTTTCTAATATTTGTTATTTTTTGATGAATATCCTTTAATGCTTTGCAGATACATTTAAAGACTACTCTGTTCCATGTTATTAACAAATTCTCTCTTTTGGTTTTATAGCCTTTTTATTATTTATGTCATCATAATGTCTTTTTTCCTCAAGGCATCACTTGTAAAACTGAGGCAAAAAATTATATTCTGTGATCCTGTTTGTCTTATCTGTTTTTTCCAGTTCAGCTTCACTACAATTCTTTAGGATAGATGCTTTGCTTCAGTGCATCTCCTTTTTTTTTTTTTTTTTTTTTTTTTTTTTTTTTTGTGCATTGTAGTAATCTGTGTTTTGGAACACTGAGTCATTTTTTTCCCCCTTAAAAATCCTATTCAAGCCCTGAAGTTTAGAAGTTGAAAGACAGGAGCCAATTTTACTGCTTCTGTCTTGTCTCTTCACACCCTTAATGGGGGGTGTGTTTCACAATGGATGTGAGACTCTGGCTTTCCACCTATCTCCTCTCAGATCTCACTCCCGTATGATCCAGTGACAAGCTCCACTAAGATGTCCTTATAAAGCCAATTTCTCTCATTCTGACAGTTGGGTCACTGTTTGTGCCAGGATGAAACTCTTCCTAGAGTGGTCATAGGTTAGGGACCAGTCTTTTGCTTTAGAAACTGCCTTTCCTCCATACCAGTTCACCCAGGCACTGTAATATTAAGTTGTCATAATGAAATGACTAATTCTTAGCATAGTCAATAGCTTCAGTAAAATTCATGTTTTAAGATCGATGTAGGAGAGACTGTATCAGTATCTGAAGAGTGTGTGTGAGGGGAAGGGGGCATTTCACTGGTGCTTTATCAGGGGCCAGATGTTAGACAGCTGGAAAACATATTGAAGCTGCAATTTCCTTTTTTCATAGGACTTGTATCTGAAATGTATTCACAGAAAACAAGAAGACAAACCCCTGTTTTTATTGATGGTTTGATACTTCCCAAAGCCAAATCAGCATCTGAAGAAAAAATTTTCTGCATTTTCAAAGTGGTAGCTGCTTTGAGAAAAGTCCTTCAACTTTTTATTTTTTTTATATTTTTTCCTTCCTTTTAATGTTCTTTTAGCCTCCTAACAGTTATGGAAGATCCAATTTTCATAGCATACACAGCAAAGAAAGAAGAGGAGAAGAATCATCACTCAGGAAGACAGAGGAGATTTATGTCAACTGCAAAAACGTCTCACACAAACACAAGAAAAGACCATTAGATTCTTTCTCAAGAATGAAGTAATCAAAGCACAGGCCTTTTTATTTACAGGATAGACTTTATTTTCTCTGTGCTGGCAAGATGTGGAAGGCCAAACTGGCTGTGTTTGGCATGGCCTGGGCTACTTTGGCAGGTCAGTGACGTGACCCTGGCTGTGTTGGTGTTGTATTGCAGCCTACAGTTACCCTATCCCTTAATTAATATGCAGGATTAGAGACTATTTGTCCTTCTACAATAGAAACACTTTTACCTGCTAGGTGGACTCTTAAGTATCATTTTTAGAACAGCTATAATATGCAGAATATATCTGCAAGTTTACATAAAGTTAATTTGGTCTGAGAAATCTATGTGTATGAGAAGCCAGTGTGACAGGGTGAGAAAGAAAATGTGTTTGATGTTGTCTATGTTCATAGTTTTTGCATCCCAAATTGAGAGCACTATGGAATAATAAATACCCATGATTTTCCACACAGGAGGTGTTATTTTGCTGCCGGGCAAACAGTGCTATTCAGCAGACATAAGCAAATGTATCAGGGCTCCTTGAACCTAGATTTAAAAGTATGAACAGCAGCTTGGTATCTGACAGCTTTGTGATTTTACAGGCTTCTTGCCACTCACCACAGTAATTTCACTATTTTCTTTTTGGGGATGCAATTGAAGTGTAGCCCCTCTCTCCTCCCCCACTCCTTCACCCCCTTCACTCCCACCCTTGCCCAGAAGAAAAAAAAAACAGGATGACTCTGTCACTGTCAGGTTATATTTAATAATTTATTATAAGGTTTAATTGAGCAAAAAATAAATGAGAACATGGAAGGTATATGAGTAAATGGTGCAAAGCAGAAGATAGCATGACTGAGAACATTTACAAAACAATACACATACATATGTAGTTTTATGTGTGCATACGTATATATTCTGCTGAAACCTACAGAAGAAATCACAGAGAAATTGAACAAACAGACAAAAAAAAAAATCATTAAACAAACAGAACTAGAAGGCAGACCTGAGAATTAGGATCTATGCATCTTTTGGCCTTTTACAAATCTGCTGAATGACTGAGGACAGAATCCCAGTAAATGACGGTGTTACCATGACAGCTGATAATCATCTATGTTGGCGTATTGCAAACTCTGTGCCTGGCTCACCTATGCCTGATTCCACTTTTCTCTTGAAGCATACGTAAAAATGTTGCTGGATATGGTGTTTGGGGTTTTTGTTTGGGTTTTTTTTGAAAGGGTTAGTGGTGGAGGCATCATGAGCCTGCCTACAAACCAGGTACCAGTTCTGCTTGGCTGGCTAGGAAGAGCATCACAGCCTGACAGTGAAAAGTCTTCTCCAGTGGAAAGCATTTTCATGTGCACAGGAAAATAGGAACCTAGATTCTTCTGAGAATAACATGGACACAAGGCTTCTCTTCACTATTTGAGCAATAATAGCATCATGTGGTTATCCTACACTTCAGCTAAAAATCTAAAATCCTAAAATAAAGTGTCCTTTCAACTTCTGCTGAAGACTTAAATTGTTTACAGTGTCATATACCATTAAAAACATCTTGTTTTGGTTTTCTGTACTCCTGAACAAGGACATGTTGCAATGGATGTTTTTTTTAAATTTCACTTGCTGAAGGTTTTCAGATATACAAATGCTCGAATGTGAAATTGATGAGGATACACAGAACTGTACTGCTAACAAGTTGGTTTATTTCCTGAGTTATCAAATGTCATAGCAGATAATTCTAAATTGTGCACAGCCTTACAAATTAAACCTTGTAGCATTGGGTCCTTTCTTATGATCCCCCTGATAGTAAAATGATAAAATAACAATGTAATGGATTTGATTACACAGAAGGTCTCAGTTGGAGTCCTGATACTAATACACAAACATCCATAAGCTGAGAAGATGGTATTGTTTTACTGCTTTTAGAGACCGTCAGAATACATCCCTGCTTTACTAATGATAAGAAAAGGGAAGAAGTTGAGGTTAAATATCTGGAATACCAGATTGTTTTGATTATTTGTGGTACTGCCCTTATTTCTTTTCTCTTGGTACTTTCAGCTTGTCTTTTTGAAACAATTGCTTATTTTTGAGATTTGAAGACAAAACAAAATCTATGGTGCACTCCTTTGCAGGTATGTAATCTGTTTTAATTCAAATTCTGTAAACATACTAGTTCTACCAGGATAATCCACAGGGAAAATCACATAACACATAGTATAATAAGAACAATATGTTATATTTTTTTTTCAAAAAAAAATCACAAAACAACAGCTTCATTTTTGTACCATAGTAATATCAGTGAACAGCAGCTGAACAAGTGACAAAACCAAAAAGAAAACAACCCCAAACTTATCAATATTCTTATTGGTTTAAAAACTAGTAAGCTACACACAAGAGAAACTTCCAAAAGCTCAATTTGAAATGCAATATTAGAAGTCTTTAAATATTTTATGAGTCCGGCAGGTTGGGACCCAATATTTGCTGTTTGGATTATATAAATAGACTTTCCATTGTAAACAAACCATTGTTTATTGCTGCTTAGTTTCAACATTTCCTACAGATTTGTCCTTTCCTTTTGGAATTTTTAAAATTTCTTTTGAATAAACTCCATCGACTGTAATTTGGAAATTTTAATGTTGAACAGTTACTATGCTATTTCATGCTGTACCACTCACTCAAATAGTTAAGAGGGAGGAAAAAAGAATCAGTGAAGCAACATGACATAATCATGGATAGCAATCAGCTCAGCAAACCATCTAAACTGTAAAACAGTTCTGCGGATTTTTTTAAGGTCTTAGAAACTGTGCTGGAAAGAAATAAATGTAATAAAATATATTGTCATTAAAACAGTGAGTGTTGAATACCTTGAAAGGTATTTTAGGTTAACTACCATCTATGTGATTTGAAAATGAATATATGAGATTAAAGAAAAGTAAAACCTTTTCCATAATAATAAAAAGAATCCTTTTCATTGGGTCAAAAAGGGAAATGTTTTAATTCAATGTTCAAAGGAATATTCAATGATCAATAGTACAACTAAGTCTTTAAAGGGTGTAAGCTCACATCTCTTTGAAAAAGACTTCTGAATGTAGGAAAGGCAGTCACCAGAGTTCAGATCAACAGGACGAAAACTCCCAGTCTGTGAAGGAAGGGGAAAGTTGTTTTCTTTATTCATTTCGTATACATTACCTTAAAGAACTTCTCTGACTGTAATATGTTCATGATACTGCTCCTTTTGCTAGTCTCCTCTCCCTTGGCTGTGTGTCTTGGGGTAAAACAACGTTTCAGTGAGGAAACAGGCTATTCTAAGGGCTGGGCCCACCAAGGAACACAAGCAGCTGGACTCTTCCACACCCCTACTTCTGGCAGGCTAGTTCAGCAATTAACCCTCTTTATGACCCCCAGCTGACCTAAATTCCCAGCCACCTTCTCTGTTAGGCATGCTCAGAAAGAACTTGTTCTAACTATACTGCGCAATTTAACCACCTGCCTCCTCTCCAGGTCTTATTGCAGGACTAGGGGATGGGAGGAGAGGACCAAGGAAACACAGCGGGCAGAACACTTGAAATATAGCTGCTACCAGCATTTGCTAGTTTACTCCTGAGGGTTCCAAATAAGAAGCTTACTTCAGAAAAAGGAAAGATTTAATATTCAAAGGATTGTTCAGAGGATTGATCTCACTAGCAGTTTCATTTCTAGGGGTGGGGTTTTTTTGGTTTTGTTTGTTTGTGTGTGTGCTTTTTTGTGTGGTTTTTTTTTTTTTTTAAGGAGGTCCTCAGAGGATGATTATTATTTTTGTATTTATAGAGATGTCAGGGCACAAGGACTCTGATTTTTCAAATTTACTTTTAAATATGTTCATCATGCTCCTTTAAATATATTCTGTTATGGAGCTCTGTGAAAGCCCAAATCAATGGTATTTATTTACAGTAGCTGAAGCTCTGCCTCAGTGAGTACTCCCTAGTGCAATTTCCTTCAAAGCTGAGATGCTCAATAGGAGTTAATCCTCTGAACAGCTTTGTAAGTCTTACACTAAGGGCTACTTCCAAAACCAGCTTTTCTGTCTACAAGATAGGTGCTAAAATGTTCTTTTAGGCTGCAGACCCTAGGAGTAGAAGCTGCCTGCCAAGTTCTCAGACTGTATTGTTCAAGGTGTAAGCAAGACAACATAAAAGACATTTCCAAAACACACACATTCCTGGAGAACCGTGTTGGGCTAGGGATAAGACATACTGTCACAGCTGTGTCTTGCTGAGATGTGGTGTCAGGGTATGTGTGGGCTCAGGGTGACCACTGCTCCTGTGATATCTCAGGCAAAAGATAGAGAGGCTAGAGACCCACAGCTTCCAAACATTAAACTGGACCAGGCTTTTCACTGCCACATGAAATGCTGGTTCATCCAGTGTCATACCTGCCAAATCACTCAGGTAATGGGAGACCCCTCCCAGTTCTCTCCCAGCCTGCATTAAGACAGGTAAGCATGCTCTCTCCCCTGCCCTTTGAAGGTGGGCTCCTGCACAGCAACAGCTCATATTTCTAGGATGAAGAAGAGCCTGCAGGGCTTGGTAGGACTCTCTTCCACCAAGAGGTTCCTTGTCTCTGCTTTTGTTCATACCTTTTTTGTTGCTGCTCTTTTCAAGTCAATGCATTGAGAGTTATGAGAAGAGGATGAGCCATGGGAACCACAGGATAACCGAGTGATGAGTTTGCCAACGTGTCCTTTAAAGCAGGGAAGCCTCAGGAATACTGAGATAGCCTCAGCTGTGTGTGCTCAGATACTACTGGGGCAGGCTGCCACCATGCCACAGGACTGACTACTGCCACTGCTCTGACTAATTTCTTGGCCCTGGTTAAGCCTGATTCATTAAACTGTAGATTTACCTTACTATCTGTGCTATAGTCTTACAGTTATATATCTCTACATATAACTTAGGATATAATGTTTGAGCTAAACGTAGAAATACTAAAGGAAATGCACAAAGCTATCTAACACAAGTTTCAAAAGATTATTTCCACACTATCCACATTGTTAGCCTGTATAGCTAGATAAAATAATTAATATTAATTACTGCCATGGCTGACATATTTCTTCTAATCTTATGCTTACTTATAAAGACAACTTTGCAGTTTTAGAAAAAAAGCATCTCAGTGGTTCCAAAGGGTATTTAACACCTGTCTTAACAGTTTATTCAATTAGATTGTTACACTAAGCAATTAATTTGTAGCATTAACCAGTAAATAAAAAAAAATATTTAAGTGATCAATAGTTTATCATACTAAGATATAAAGAAAAGCACAGTATCTTTCTTTTTTTCAATACTTTTCTGTTTGTGCTGATGTTTATATGTGTATTTGTATATGTTAGAAATATTTGCATGTATTAAAATTTATCTCTTTTTTTTCCCTCTGAAATAAACCTGTCTTAAGCAGATATTTATTATTTTCTTTGAAATGTCTATAATTTACCCAACAACAGTAGATTGGGAGGAACCTCCCTACAGAACTCTGTCAGAATATTTTGAAATTAGAAGAAAAAAAGGTTGAGCTCCTCTGTATGTATTTTTATGGATCATAAAGGAAGATATTGCCCAGAATTCAATGAGCTGTGAAACATTCTAAATCATACTTTTGACAATACCTGGCTGCAGTGAGTTCCACAAAGTTGTGTGATAACACTGGTGGTACATTGTGCAAATTACTGTTTTTTTATACTGCATAATGAGTGTTAGGCAGACTGGTTCTTGGTTCTTCCAGCCAAGTTAGGGAAAATGAGCCCATCATGCTTTGTACAGAGTAATGTAGAGCTGTGAATCAAACTGAACACATGACATTGTTTCCAGTTTCTGATGAAGGAGAAGAAGAAGTTGAATACTATGGGAAAGTGTTTTGTGCTCAACATGGCCCACTGCTGTGTGCTTAAGTGTTTGCCAATTTCTCCTAATCTTTTTAAAGATTACAGAATGGTTTATTTTTGTTGATTTCTTGCCACATTTTTCACCTCCTTTCATAAATTTCTCTACATTTCTATAATGATGATTTTCAAAGAAATAAAAGGTTAGCATGTATCATTCTTTGGTAAGAAGTCATAACACTTATTTTCCCATGTATTTTCTGTTTTTCCTTGCAACCATCTCAAATCAGAACAATTTCAAAAAAGCAGTTCTGGATATCTCCTGTCACAGCCTGTCATCTATGGAAACTCAGGAAATATTACAATTAACATCCACAAGGAAAATTTTATTTTATATAATTTATTCTAAGTATATGAGCAGTGATGAGAATAAAAATTTAACTGAAACCCTTATTTTGGTTATTGGTATGGAATGGCCAAACCAGACAATTAATTTTGTGCTATTTTCTATGCCCACTCTGACTTGCTATCATACAATTTTTAGAAAAGACTGAAAATGATGTGTCAGCTGATTAAAAATTAACTTCATTTATGTCAAATATTCTTATAGGAAAAAATCTACTGTAAAATATATTAATGTACTTGAAAATCTCAGGATTGTAAGAGAACATAGTAAATCTGTTGAACCTCATGAAGATCTCTGTATCAAAGCAACAAATAAACCCAATGAAATTAATTCTTTGAAACTTCAAATGTGATTTTTAAAAATATTAACTTCTTCCTATTTGAGAACCTATTCCTTTTTGAGCTTGCATTCAGTTTAAAAGGAAATATTGTCTCCATTACAGCTAGCAATATTCATAACAATATGTACATTGTCAAATGCTTAAATTCTATTTAATCATACTTAAACCTCAGTTACTTTCATATGTGTTTTAATTGTGTCTGTAAAAATCTGTCAAGTTGCATAAACTTATAAAAATCTTTGCAAAGTGAACCTTCCATTTTCTTTAATAGCACCAGTTTGCCAGCAGATTCTAATATTTAGGTTTCTAAGTACAATGAAATTTAAATAATTGCTGAATATACAAGACCTTCACCCATCACCTTTTACTGTCTTTTAAGGACCTGGACAGGGAGACAAACTTCTTGTTTCAACAAGGGAGTAAATATTCTTTGTGGTTTCTTTCATTCCACCATAAGCTTATCCTTGTTTCCAATATACCTCACCTTTTTATCTAAAATAAAAAGTGAAGAGCATTTATTTATACTATCAAGTACAAACACAGCACACTTCATGTAGTGCAAGATGTTATAACTGCAGAATTCATATATCCAGCCCTCTGATTTTAAAGTTAGGTCACTACAGTGGTTTGCACAGTCATTATCTTCTACTTACAAAACTTAGGCAGGCATTTTGACCAGTTCTCTGTGGTTAAAAATGTAAAATTCTAATATGTCCTCTTGTGTAATAAGTGTGTTTGGAAAGACTCACAAGTATTTGAATCACGTATGGAAAAATGAAATTTTCCAGTGCTGTTGGATCTATTCTCATAATCAAAGAGCAGTGTTTCACACTTTTTTCACTGTTCACTCCATTCTGTGTGTGGATAAAAGCCACACTTATTCCTTTGCAGCAGGTATAAAAAAAAAGCCAAAATACAGAGATATTAAACACTAAAGCAGAGATTAATTGGAACTCATTACTCATTCCTTTTTAGTTTTTTGTAAATAATTCTATATTTCATGCTAAAATGCACAGCCATTCAAGAGAGTTATATTTTCTAATGGAAAACTACCCTGCAGTTTCTCGGTTACCAGATGAAAACTAGCACATGTAGCTGGTGAGCTAAGTCTGAGTAGAGGTTTATATGCTACAGGCTGATGCTCTTTGTCAGTTCCTAGAGATCAAATATCTCAAAAAACCTTACTCCTCATAGTATTGCCTTTTAGACTAGAAAGCTGAACAAGCATGAAGTTAATTCCTTTTCTGACAAATGCAGTACATAGATATGATTAACGATTGACCTTTTTTTCTCTTTGCCGTAAGCGGGTAAGGGTCGTCACAGATTGCCTGCACTTAGCAACTTCTAAATAAATGGGTGCCTGAAGGCTGTATTTTGTACTTAAATTATTGCTATAGAGAGCACTTTAAAACACTTTTGCCCTCAGACACTCAATTTCAACCCCTCTTCCAGCAAAGTCTTATTAACTTGGAACAAAACTTGATTATATTCTGCATCCCAACAGGATTTCTATACATGTGTTATGGAATGAAGTATTTTTCCCGAAATATCACGGTAGACTTTTGACAAAACGAAAGAGAGCAGCTATTGTCAATGTCTCAACAAACTCCTTTGGTTTGTCAATACATTTTCAAGTTTGACTTGTAGCTTTTGTGGAACCAAAAAAGAAGAAAACAAATGCATCAAAACCTCCCAAGGACAGAACTTGATACATGTGACCACGTGACTGCCACAAAAAGTAATGTCTGAATATTTACTCAGTAAAACAGCAAACTCCCTGCTACAAGAGATTCTCCTTTCTTTTTCCTTTACATGGGCGGATGAAAGTGTTTCAAATGAGTACTCATAGACAATTTAAACTACAAATAATGACATGTGTCAGTTTAAAAAATGGGACTATTCAAGTTCCTTAGCACCATTTGATGATTTATTAGCAGTCTCTTTCAATTTCACCTTTTCTGCACCAAGTGACTTCAAAATCAAAAGTACCAGCATGCATCAATCTATAATATTCACAGTAAAGATATATTAGCAATTATAATTAGTAATTCCATGTGTTATTAGTTCATAGGGGTGAATATATTGTTATCAAAGGGTGATTAAAAAAATGTAAATCACGGTTACAATTATAGATTCATATCACATCCTCCGAAACAGAAATAAAAGCAAAAGCTTTATTTTATTTCTTCTATTTTATCATTTACTAATGCTAAGTTCCATTTCTACCAGCTGCACCTGGTTACCACTGAAGACATTTTGTTGCCCTCCATCCCTTCACAGCTCATTAGCTGAAAACAGGGAGCAACTCTGGGGTCAGGAGTAGTCTGTGTGCCTCGCACAGGAAGAAAGCCGAGACTGGATCAGGGTCCCATGGGGTCCCTGGGTCTATTTAAAGGCCGCTGTAGTCTCTAGGCAGGCAGCTCTACCATGTGCTCCAAAAGAGAGTTTTCTTTCTGGTGGAAACACTAGGAGCTATACAAAGTAGTCTCAGTGGCCATCACTTGGGTTATCAACAGGCATATGCCAGGAATTAAAACAATTCCATGAAAGCAGAATTTTCTGGCAAACTGTTGTCACAGTGTCTGCCTAGTTCTCAAGGAGCTTTTTTGAGGAACATTGTGGAAGCTGTGTGAATACGCCAATGATGCAGTGATACCATCTGTTGTTCTGGAGTTGCACTAATGGCAGCATCCACTGGCTCCTGAATACTTTTGTGCTTCAGGCTACCAGTTGTCTTAGACTGTGTTACAGTACATGGTAAAGTTGCACCCTCATTTTCAAATTCGAGTGTGCTTGGGTTTGGTCTCTACAAGAAATAGCTCCCAACAGGTCAGATTTGCTATAGATTGCTTGTGTTGTGCAGCTTTGTTCAATTTTCTGTGTATTATAGGAGACCACAAAGGTATTTTATAAACGTATGAGTTGAGAAGATGGTTGCATTATGCAATAAAAAAAATATTTAGTAAAACTGCTATATATGGCCATATATATAGCCAAGACTGCTATAATGCCCCATTCCATCCCCTTTTTTGGTGTGTTTTCTTTGAAAATAGCATCTACATTTTCATTAACTTGACTATATTCAGGTACTTGATAGGAAGACAAAGCCACAGACAGCAACTGTTCCCCAGGAAACAAACAGAGAACATTATATAGATCTTACACTTTTTATAGAAATACAGTCGAAGTACTAGGTTGAGGATTTAGATAGGTTCTTAAAGTATATGGACACTGGAACTATAAATCATATTCTCCTGTTTTCCCTTTTCCCCACTTTTGAGCTGTGTAGAATATGTAATTATTAAATGACTAGTATTTAAGTCACAGAGGAAAGAAGTTACTTGAACACAGTGTTGAAACCTGCAGAACATATTGAAAACTTAATCTAAGGAGTTTAAAAGAAAATATATATAATTTTAGGGCAAGTGAAAGAATCCCAGTTGCAAAGGAATAAAAATAACTGACCATTTCTCCAAAAGGCAAATATTTGGCAAAGCTGCACTGAGTAACAGAATCACACCATTATCGTTTTGTATCAAATTTCGCATTTAAAGTTTGCAAATCGGAAATTTTCCCTAAGCAAAATGTCAACTGAATCTTTTTCTTAAATGAAAGTGTGAATGAAGTTTCCTTGATGGGTACAGTTCTGAGAGCGCCATAGGTACAGCGCCTTGACAGCGTGGGAGAGCAGTTTTTCATTTTAGCTCATCAAAATACTCTCTGTAGGGAGCCATTCTATTCCTGAGTATGGCAGCACTGTGAGAAGGAAAAGAGGTAGTGAATGAGACAAGGAAAAACGGGAAAAATAAATAAAGGTGATTGTGGTGGGGTAGAACTCTTTCATTCAAGTGGATCACAAAGCTTTTTATTCAGCAGCCGTTCACTGAAAGCTGTAAGTGTGCAAGGTCTCTTAGCCAGGAAAATGGTTGGAGAAAAGCTGACCATATTGTATCAGTAAATGTTTAATCAAAAGCAGAAGTTTCTTCCATACCTTTTAATACATATATATATAATGTGCATATATAAAACAACCCAACAGCACTTTTTCAGTTAAATTATAGTACATAAAACCGATTGTTTAATTGGAAAAGAGTCTGTGTGTCTCCTCCTTGGTACATTTCTTCAACCTGTCCTGAGAAACAACCAATGAACTGAATCCCTCTGGTAATCATGGCCATAGTTTCACTCTGGGAACAGAACACAAAGCTCCTCAGATCATACAAGAGGGCAAAATTTTCTCCTCACTATTTCAAACAATTCAGGGCATCACAAGGAGTACATAAATATTTGATAACAGTTACAAAAATCCAAATGTTCAGGATAGATAAAATTCATTCCCCACCTACAGGTATGCCTTCCAACTTATTCCCTCCTTACTGATTACAAACAACTACTACAGTTCCTTTTTAAAAGACGTCTTCCAAAGACAGAAAATTTCCATTGAGAGGTACTCATCCTCCTTTTGAGAGCAAACAGATGCTTGACACATGATCATACAAGATACAATGTGCATCTAGAACAGAAATCTGAGAAGGAAACACAGAAAATCAAAGTAACGCTGACCAGAAAGACAAGACCAGAGCTCAGCTCTACCATGTCTGGCCCAGCTATGGCACTGGCAGTTGCCAGCTGGGCAAATGGGCCATTTTTTTTTTGTTTGAAGAACAGTTTTCCCGCTTTTTAAAGTTAGGCTTGCAGGCATGGTTACCTAAATAATTTGCGAACGAGAAGACTTTGCAGCAGTTCTAAGGACAAGACTGTGCTGCTGATAGGGATGTTCACAGCTCTTAGGGGCATGGTGAAAATTGCACATGTAAGGGATGAATTTGTGCCCCAGCAATTTAAGATTAGAGCTGGACCACGTAATAACCTTACCTTGATGCACCAAAACCTATTCCCAACAAAGCATATCAGCCTGCTACTCCAGTATTTGTTGGTGTCTGGCCCAAAGAACACCCAACTACCCTCTAGGGCAGTGAGTGAGCCCACTTGGATCTGGAGGTGACCCCTGCAGCACTGATGCCAAATCTCAAGTAGGTGACATTTCAGTGCCTCCAGCAGGAATTGTAGGCTGTGGCAAGGACCTACAGAAGTTGCAGGTGAAGACAGGCTGTCCTGCTGGTCGGGGCGGGAAGGAAGGCCCCAGCGTCAAACGCGCCATTGCAATGGAGCCCCAGAAGGGACCTTTTCCGGTCATGCAGAAACCTTCACACCAACCAACACAGTTTCATTTGTTTCCACCACTTTCTTACAACACAGATGTGTCCCCCTTCCTCCCTCCCCCCAACCCCCCAACCCCCTCCTTTCTGAACATATCAACAAAAGGAACGGCAAAATAAATAAATAAAGACTTAGCCTCTGCTTTGGGGAAGCCGCCTCTCCAGGTTTCCGCATCGGCGGCACCCCGGCTGGAGCTGGTAGGCATCAGTTTTCACGGCAAATGGTGGGTGCAGAGGGGGCCAGCGGCTCCCCGGTCCTGGCGGGAGGCTCCAGGCTCAGCTGTCCGTGTGGGCCGGCTGCCCCCGGCTGTCATTGCACCAGCCCCGAGCCGTAGCTGAAGGTGTAGCTGCTGGCCAGCGACAGCGGCTGCTGGTTCTCCTCGCCCTGCTCCGATGGGTAGCTGGGGAATGTCTGCGCCCGGGACACCTTTGCTGAGCCGAGGTTGTGACCTGGAGTGGGGAGACATGAACACAAAGGATGTAAGTGAGCTTTGAAGCCTTTCTCCATGGACACAGACTCCAGCAGATTAACTTCTTACTGTCCCATGGTGCCACGGTGCCTGGAGAGCAGAGTTGCTCCATTGGGCCATTCTGAGGCTGCAGAAGAGGGTATTCCCTGTGGCTGAGGGTACAAGTGGCTGACAGATTCCCAGCCAAGGCAAAAGGTCCCAGACCCAACTCAGACATAATTTAGGGCCAGAATTATTTTTTAAAATTTCAGAGTGTTGTATTTGTGTGTTTTCTACTTAATAAGTCTTAGTTATATCAGTTAGGACTGACAAATAACCAGTGCACATCTTGTTTACCTGAAACACTGCCTATGAAAGTAATGCCAGAGGTTTCAAAGGGATGAAAATGACAAATGACAAATGCCACTTCATTTGTCCTTTGAACATGATGCCAGTTTGTCAGGTAAGCACAGCACCACTGTAATTCCAAAATGAACTGAAGGTAGGATATGGCAGAATACTGTCTGGGAGGAGGATATGCAAGACGCTTTTTCAGATGGGCTTATGAATCTCATATAACCATTGCTTTAATCAGCAATATGGGAAACCACATGTGAAAAGCCAGTGATGAAACTCAGGTAACACTGATAACCCAATTCTATAACCTGATAGCTTTCCTACCTCATATTGCATTTTGAAACTGAGATTCACTTAGTAGCAAAAAACGAACTTCCAAAATGCATATCTTCATGCAATGTGTCTTTTTTTTTTTTTAATTTTATATTGAAGCTTGGATTTAAAATGGTTTTACATAATGCTTTTAAAACTATCTTAATATACTTATTATCTGTAGGAATGCAAAATCATATTTCTATGTCAACCACAGAGGTATTAAAGAATAGCTGCAATGGTATAGACTCAAATACTAAAGAATTCAGCTCATGCTGACATTGTTTCAAAACAGTTAAGCAGCTGGGCCAGTAGTGCTGGAACCAAGAATGATGTACACTGGACTTGGGAAAACTTTTCCTCACTTTTCATTTGGAAAAGTTTGATCATAACACTTCCTCATGAAAAAAACCCCATGGCTCCCCCTGAACATGAGACTATCAGAGCAATGCTGGGACCAAGACAGAAAAAAACCCAACTAAATGAAAAATAGAATAAAAGGTACATCTTAGTGACACCGAAGACAATAAAACCAGAATCTGAATTCCCAGTGGAATGTTAATGATCATAAAATTGGTTTCATGGCACAAGCAAGCAGGATTAATTTTTTATGTGTATTTTCACTTTTCATTCATTGGGTTAAATTGACACTGGCTACCAAAATTTGACTGAGATGAAAAGATTGAATGTTTTCTGCTTCAAGAAGCTTTTGCATCAAACTGAATTAAAGTTTATGGTGAGCTCTGAGCTATGCAGTAGTTGACAATGTGAATAGTCTTAAAGGTTTTATTGCTTTGACTAACTTTTAACCATGATATTAAATAAGGCCTTTATTGTTTTTTTACTTTTATTTGGGATTACATCACAATTATAGTCACTTTATGGCTTAATCTAATGCAAACCTAAGCATAAGAAGATTAATGACTCTAGATTTTAATTCTGTGTTCCAAATCTGCCGCATTTCCATCTCAGGAAGTAAAGTCTTGCTTTCCTTTCACCCAGAAACTAGAATCATATGTCTTTTAAATGTCATAAGGAATTGATTTCCTATGTAAAATGTGTCTCTTTCCTACTAATAAAGATAAATAAAATATGTCAAGGTATAACTTTCTTTCATGTATTTTATCCAAAGAATATAAAACAATTTCTGTGACAATGAGCAGGAGTAAATAGACTTACCAACCACAGAGTTCCTTAAACTCAGGTCAATTTGTATGATGTGCTGTATCTTGTATAATTAATTTAAAATCCACTTTTGTAGAATAGTGTAGCTTTAATACAGTGATGAAGAGTGGCCCTAATACACTAATTTCTAGCCACTAATTTCTAGCAAAGGAATTCAGGTGGTGTCTTAGAATGTGGAAGAGGAATTGAAAGCTATTAGGGTTAAAAAAGAAATTAAATCCAGGTCATTCATTTCCTCTATATATGCCCCAAAAGCCAACATCTCCCTTGCTGTTCTTCAAAGGAAAATTTGTAGATGCTAAATATCACAACAGGGCTAGTTTTTGCCATTCTGTAACCAAAGGGGTTAAGGATGAAAGTTCTTCTCTCCTGACTGTTAGTATTTGCAGTAAAAGATAAGAGAGACAGATAGCAAAGGTTAAGGCACACCTGACAGAGCCAAGAGATCTAGGATGTCTGGTTGAGGCTCAAGCTGAACAATATGGCATTGATCTATGAAAATAATAACAAAAAGAATAGAGGACATTGGTTCAAATGAAATGAGAAAGCTATGGGTAATAGAAAAGTTACGAGTTTGGAAAGAATGGATATAGGCAATATATTTACTTTCGACTTTTATTTTTTTTAAACAATTAATGATATCAATATACTTCAATAAATGAATAAGAAAATGGTGGTGACAAAATAATAAATAGTCTAAAGGATCCAAGTTGACTTAAGTCTGCTAAGTTGCAAATTTCCAAAATTTAGGATACTTTTCAGCTTTTTGTTAAAATTCAGCATATCGCATACTGGAAATTCTATGTTACAATAGAGCCTTTTGTTTTAATTCCTAAATATTTTAAGATTCATACAGCTGATCAGCCTTATGGAGTCCTAGGTACTGCAGTGTCTCCAAAGTTACACTTTATGTCAGCAGTAAGGATTTTGAAACTAAAGAGACAGGTAAAGTTTTTTGCAGTAAACGATTAAAGTTCCACAACTTTCTAAGTTTCCTGCTTCTGTTATATTTGGACCTTAAAAGGTTAAGAGAGAAGAAGAAGAAGAAGAAGAAGAAGAAGAAGAAGAAGAAGAAGAAGAAGAAGAAGAAGAAGAAGAAGAAGAAGAAGAAGAAGAAGAAGAAGAAGAAGAAGAAGAAGAAGAAGAAGAAGAAGAAGAAGAAGAAGAAGAAAAAGAAGAATACTATTTGTGGATTTTGCAGCTCTTTGGTACCACAGCTGCTTTTAAGAATACAAAACTAACTCTTCCCTACAATTATTCTGGAGTCAGCATAAGAGGAATTTGATGATTTCATGACCTGAAGACACCAGTGGAGCTGGGTGAGGTTTTTCCCGCCATGGCTTACAGAGGAAAAGTTGCTTTTCTTTCTGTTCCAGGACAGAACCTTGGAAACATAAGTATTATTCAGCCTGCTTCATCCTTTATTCAAATTTACTCTCAGGATTATAGAATGCAATGAAGCTGCAGTCCAAAGCAATTAGGTATGAATGATCCATCAAGAAAATTTAATGTAACCCAGTAAATTACATTAAATTAGATTTTTCCTGATCTTAATTATGTTGGAAACAGAGGCAGTATACACCAGGATCTTATTTCATGGCATGGTGCTTATTTATAACAATTCTTTAGAGGAAAAACCCAATGGTTTCCTAGTAACAGCAGTGACTGATGTACATATAAGTAGATCGATCACAACTTCTGAGAGAAAACTTGCAGTACTAAGCTAAATGAAAAGGAAAAAAAAAAGAGAAGAGATCCAGGGATAAGCTTTAAAAGCTCCCTTACTGCTGCTTATTGGGAGATGTTTCTGTTTTAGATTCAGAATTGAAATTCTTAACCAGAAGGCAGGCACCAACCCTTTTTCTTTTCTAAATGAAATAAAGGTCACTCTTTTCTTTTCCAATACAAGAGTTCAAGGGATTCTCATCCGATGTTCATTGGTTAAAACACTCGTCTGTGATGTACAAGTTCTGTGTTTAAATTCCCCTCTGCTTGTGGGTAAGGTTCAACATTGCACTTTCAGTGGAAAAGCAGCTGAAAACGTTCCCTTTCTGCTCTGTACTGACACTGCTGTTCACTGTCCCTCAGTTGAGCCATTGAGACTGCAAAGCTGCTTTGTAGACTGAAGCACTTTGGTCATCTGGTTTGCAAGAGCCCTACAAATCTCTGTACTGGCAAAGCTGAGAAGCAGGAACAAGCAGCCAAGGGGAAGAGATGGCAGGTTTTTTCTCAGGCTGGTTTTCCTGCCAGATGGTTTGTTTGGCAAATGATGACCTGTGAGCAATGTGCCACCAAATGCAGTCACCACCAGACTGATCACAGCTCTGATGCAGGAGCACTTTTGAAACCTTGTGACTAAGCTTTTCCCATACAAGATCTAATAAAAGTTTATGTTTCTGCAGTACAGTGATTAAAAATTAATAGAACCAGAGGCTCCTGTGTTTCAGCTTCTGTTGCAGGCCTTTAATTACCTTATATGAGACAGCCATTAGGTAAAAATAAAGACATTTGCAGCTGCACAGCAAGCTTTCATCTGGGATTTCTTAACCTCTGAACAGATGACTTTACAAACAAAAGGATGTACTTCTAATGCATTTCTATTTTTCTAGGTAAATATAATAAATTTATTTTTGAAAATAAAATTTTATATTTCCATTTCCAAGATTATGAGCACAAAATTGAAGTCATTAAATTAGAGCCAATTGGATATCTTTACTAGTATTGTGTTTTGTATTTGGGAGTCTCTGAGACCTAATGATTGCAAAAGTTCTGCAATTGCTATAGATGTCTCTATAAATGCTATAGAAAATCATGTGTGCTCAAAAGAAATTTCTATGAATCAATCAGTGCAAGCTAAGAATAAATAAAGTGAATCAATTGTTCCATTGTAAAGCAGTTTCTTCTTTTTAGAAATATTAAATGGAAAATTCTGTTGTTCACAATAAACAGAACAGTCTGGGAAGCAGAGAAACAGAGATTATGAGATTTTATCATTGCACAACAGGATAGTGCAAGAAGGTGGAAAAAACCCAATTAACTAACAGATGTTTCAAGAATGAAACATTAGTAAGAAGGAGTTAGCTCTATGTTGTTTCCTCACACAATTCTCACTGGACTAAATGCAACTCTTGAGTCAAAAGTTCCCAA